GGCCCTGCAGTGGGCATGCTGACCGGCCCTGCAGTGGGCATGCTGACTAGACCTGCAGTGGGCATGCTGACCGGCCCTGCAGTGGGCATGCTGACTGGCTTAAACAACAATGAGTTTTCAAGTCATGCCTTGGGTCACTATCACAAAAACATGTCCAAGCTTGCTGTGGACACACATGGCCCAGTTATCCTGGTCACCCCAGCCAATGGCCAGCCATGTAAATGGTCCCCCCAGACCAGAACAACTGCCTAGCTGAGTCCAGACTAAACTGCTGACCCACAGATTCACAAGCTAAAGAAACACTTTTTGACAGTATGGAGATTCTTCAAAAAATTAAAAATAGAAATACCTTATGATCCAGCTATCCCACTACTGGGTATCTATGCAATGAACCTGAAAACAACAATCCAAAGAGGCTTATGCACCCCTGTGTTCATTGCAGCATTATTCACTATAGCCAAGACATGGAAGCAACCCAAGTGTCCCTCGACTGATGAATGCATAAAGATGATGTGGTATATACATACCATGGAATACTACTCAGCCATAAAGAAAGACAAAATCGTCCCATTTGCAACAACCTGGATGGACCTGGAGGGTATTATGTTAAGTGAAATAAGCCAGAAAGAGAAAGACAAACAGGGCATGATTTCACTCATATGTAGAAGATAAACCAACACACGCACAGATAGAACTGTTTGGTGGTTACCAGGGCCTAGGGGGGTGGGGGGTGGGCACAAGGGGTGGAGGGATGCACTTATATGGTGACTGATAAACAATAATGTACAACAAAAATTTCACAATAAAAAAAATTAAAAAAAAAACCACTTTTTGTTTCAACCACTGAGCTTCCAGGTGGGAACAGAAAGCTGGTCTCCACAGTGGCCTCTGGGCTCCCAGAGACCTGGGACGTGCTGGTGCACACCCTGCCTCCCCAACTCGGTGCCTCCTAGAGTGCACAGCATGCTAGAAGCCCAGTGGGTGAATGTTCCATCATTACAGTGCTGCTTGCTTTAGGCAGAGTACAAGGACCAGAATTGGGAGGATCATATTTTGAATACTAATTTCTAACTCTTCCTAAGGGAGTCTTTGAAAAGCACTTCATGTCTCCATTTTGCTGTGGAGCCTCTGACAGAAAGGCCACCCCCGTGTCCTGATTGAGGGCCGTGATTTCCAGGAGCCCTGGGCTGGGCTGGCTGCGACACTCTCTGGGGGTACAAACAGACTCCCCAGACCCCGTCCTGAGAGTCTCATTGTTTCGGTGGGTGGAGCCCAGAAACCTGAATGTTTAAATGGCTCCCCAATATGGCATAATAATATGGCATATTATTAAATGAAGAATATCAAGTGATCACTGAACTGAATCATTTCCCCAGTCTATTATTTCCTGAAAGCATCTTTTGACAAGGTCAATTTCCTTTCATCAGAATTTACTTATATATAGACTATATATATAGATGCATCCAGGTGAGGTAATGGTTAATATAATTTATAACTTAGATGCTTACCTATTTCCAATGCTGGTTAACAAAGTTAATAATATCTAACATATGAGATCAAAATAGAAACAGAAAATATTAGACAACAGAGAAGAGGAAAACTATATATCAAAGCTCTAGACTAGCAGACTGGCTTTAATGAGTAGCTCTGAGTCTCCTAGCAGCAAAGGCAAAAAGAAATATAATAATTATATAATTCTTACTATCTGATGAAAGAAAATGTATCAAAATATCAATAGAGACAGTTTTTCGAGAGCTGAATTCTAAAGGGAACTTAATTACATAGATCCTATTACACAAGTAATTTTAAACATAATGGATAATATGCTAATGTATAATGAAAGAAACTTTTCTGGGGCTATATCGTAAGAGGAACCTAATTATACAGGTCCCACTGCATAAGAGACGTTGAATAACATCCATTAAACAGCCATCTCTGGAGGCACTTCTGGGTCAAGGTGCGGGGAAGGCCTTCAGGTAATCTGACTTTCCTCAGGGGAAAAGCTTAAGACATCTAGAAAGTATGATGAAGGACTGGGCTGTGCCCGGACTCCGAGTCCTCTCAGAGGAGAAAATGGGCTCCACTGCTGCACTGAGGGTCCTGATGGAGGAGCCGGTTCACACTCATGACTAGAACCCACACCCTGGGGGCTCCCTCCATTCATCAGCCCAGGTGCAGGGGCTCAAGGGTGGAGGGGCCGATTCTGAAAGACGCCCCCCATCGTAGAGAGGCATTGTGGGTTTCTCACTCGCTACAAATGCCACAGAGGATCACAGCGTGCTGACTGCTCTCGGCTGTACTGATGGAGGAATGGTGCCAGGGCAGGGGGTGAGGCTCTGGCTCCCTCCTGCCCCCCAACCTCCCTTTAGCCCCTCCCCTGTGCCACGTGCTCGCCTCTGGAGTGCTGCACGTGCCGCCCCCCCACCCCGCCCCGTTCCTCTGGCTCCTCACCCTTCAGATCCCTATTTAGATGTCGCTGACACCCTCAAGCCTGGGGGGGGTCCTCCCCTGTGGCCCCACAGCATCCTCCCTTCTCCATGGCAGCCCCACCACTCTGAGGTGAGACCGCTGTGTCTGAAGTAACACCTGAGAGTGGTCGCCAAACCGGTTCACTGCTGGAGCCTCACTCTGGCAGTGCCAGGCACAGGGCAGACGCTCCAAAGACGTGTACAGGAACCAATAACGCAGGAGGGCCAACACCACTGCTAATACTGTCGCCACTTACAGCTGGCACTCACGCAGGCTCACGGGTGCTGGCCCCGTTCTAAATGCTACAGTGGGGGGCTGAGACCTGAGCCCAGCAGTCTGCTCTGGCACCCACTCTGAACCTCTGTGCTCTAATCAATGATCACACGTGTGCGACAAGGTTGGACGAGGCACCTGGAGGCGCCCTGGAGGTCAGGCCGGAGGTGAACACGTGTGTGCAGGGGACCGAGGACACGGGGTGATCTCAGCGATGCCCACACGCTCCAGCCCTCCTCAGACAGCCCAGAAGAGCCGGCCAGAAGGGCCTGTCTGCAGTCCTGTCCCACGACTGTGGCAGGCCCGTGCCCCCCAGCACGGGGGCCATGTGAGGACAGAATCTGTGAGTGTAACGGCAGGAGACGGAAACAGAACAAGCACCTTGCTGCCGGGACCGCCGCCGCCTGCGGGGCAGACCGGGAGCTCAGGCGGGCTGGAGCCAGGCGCCGGCCCAACAGGACTTGACCGGTGGCTGGGCTTCTGCTCAACGAGTCCGGCTGCTTTCTTCCTCTGGGCAGCGATTTGGGACAGGACACTGTCTATGCTGCCACCTGCGGAAACAGGAACAGGAGTGACGGCCAGGGGCCCAGAGTGGAGCCACACGGGTGTGGGGGACATCGTGCGCCCTCTCGGCTGAGCCGGAAATGCGTTTCCCAGACTCCCCCCACCCCGTGTGGCTCCCAGTCAGGGCTGACCACGAGGGGGCTCCACATGAGAACCATGAGGCAGCCGAGACGCCGCGGCCACCACGCTCTGAAGGCGTTGTGGTGAGAGGAGGTGGAGGATGCCGTGTGGCAGGATCAGCCTGTCCTCGCTCTTCCCCGCGCCGCGGCCAGCCCCGCGGCCTCCAGCAGGCGCAGACCGGGCCTGCCCCCGATGCCCGCAGAGCCCCTCTGCAGCACCCCCTTCCAGAGCTGACACGCCAGCTTCTGCCACAGCCTGTCAGCAACTTCCTCACCCCATAACTCTCAGGGGCTGCTTCCCCAACAGAACCCTGATTGCGTGTTCCCTCTGTTTCCCCAAATCTCACGGCAACTCTGCATTATTATAAAAGAAAGGGGAAAGTGATGAGGCCCAGGGCTGGGGAGGGTGCTGGAGGGGAACATGGATGACCACTATTTACAGAGCAGTTACCAGGTGCCAGGCACTGCTGCAAATCATTTCACGTGTATAAACTGAGCCTTTCTGGAAGGCAAAATGCATCAAAAGCCTTACAGATAGGCAAATTCGAGGGGACTCACTGACCGTGCAGTAAGCATGGAGGTGGGAAGCATTACTTAGGGATTATCTACAAGGGCAAAATCTAGAACAGCCCCAGTGCTCAACAAGAGGGAACTGGTTAATAAAGCTGTGATGCCTCACGTGAACGGAATGCTGTCTGGTTATCAGAAATGCTGTAGACACGGATGGACACAAAAGGTGCTCACAGTACGATGATGGGTGCAGACAGGAGAAAGGCCACAGTACGGTCTGCACCTCAGCTGGGCACCCGGCTGAGACCAGGCTCTGAAGCCAGCCCACCCTCGTGCAGGTCCCGGCTCTGCTCCTTCACAGCTGTGTGACCTTGGCGAGTTATCTACTTTTCCTGAGCCCCAGTTCCCCCATCTGTAGAATGGAGATGACACCTCGCAGGCTGCTGGGGGACCGAAGGAGACCATCCATTGAGAGGGGCTGGCACTGTGCCTGACACACACGAAGTGCTCAGTAAGTTGTTACTTCACTTTCATAAATATGACGTGCACAAAATACTTTGCAAAGATATGCACCAAAATGTTAATGATGATCCCTAGTGGGTGAGATGATACCTTTTTTTGGTCTTTGGTTTATCTGGTCTTAAAGCTTTTTCCACAAGAAGCACGCATTCCTTATGTAACTGCATAAGGCAGGGGTGTCCTTCCCACAAAGCTGGCTTTGGTTAATCCTGGATGCCCTCGGGGAGGACTAGAAAGGATGCTGTAAGTCTAAAATAACTGTGGGGCTCTCCAGTTAGAGTCCTAATTGTCACCCCCTGCTGTGTCTCCCTGGGCAAATCTCTTGCCCACTCTGAGCTTCCGTTTCCTCATCTGTTCAATAAAGGGGCCGGATGAGAAGCTCTCTGTTTAACCTTGAAGGATTTCAAACATCATGCATTTCTCCTAATTTCTTGTAAAAGTCTCAAAAAATAAAGTATTATAGATTTTATCTCCTCCCTCTCCACTCCCCCCCCACCCCAAGAAAATGCATAAAAGAAACTCCGAATTGTGAATTCACTGAAAAACCCCTCAGCCACATGAAGGAGAAAGACAGCATGTGCCGTTGTTTCTGGGACTGTCTGCAGAGCGAGCACAGGGGGCAGGTCACACCCTCGGTCCCAAGGGATCTTCCCACTCCCCCTGAGTGGCTGCCCAGGTACCCACCTGAACGGTTATGCAGCTCCCCACCATGCCTGCTCATGCCCCCGACCCCACTAGAGCCGCCAGAGGAATGAGGCGAGTGGTTGAAGTTCCCAGAATTGGCGGGAGAGGCAGGGCTTCTGGTGAGAGACGGAAACTTAACCGGTCTGACGGGAGTCTGCAAGAACAAGGTGGGATCTGGGTTAGGGTCTGCTGTTCCTTCCTCTGGATGCACAGAATCGCCGTGGCGAGGGACCTGGAGTTAGCTGGCCCACCCCAGCGGATGCCTGCACCCACCCGCACGTCCTTACTGACAAGTGCTCAGCCTGCGGGGAGTCTCCTAAGGGATGGGAGTTCACTTCTACCTGCTGTCAACCTGACCCTTAGCTCAGGCTGAGCCCCGTGACATCGCTTCTCAGGGTCACCCTGCTTTCAGGATCCCCGAACTCCTCCCACACTACAGAACAAACGCAAACCTGCCCTGCCCCTTCAGAGCATCCCCAGGGGCCGGCTCTCGGTCTCCCACTGGTGACGTGGGATTATGACAGCCCTGGGAGGCAGCAGCAGGCACAGGGGTCAGCCCCACTTTACAGACAGAGATGGAGGCCCTGGTTCCTCCAGTCACTCAGCACATGGCAGCAGGGCCGGCTCCTAAACCCATCTTCTTTGCCCATTTACTGTATCCACAGGACAGACAGTCCACACGTGGAGACCATCGCCCACATCAAGGGACCACCTCAGGACCTTACAGAGACACACTGAGGGCCCCAAAGTCAGAAACCACTGTGGTCGAAAGGACAGAGGTCACACTCCTTCTGGGCACAAGAAACACCAGCAGGGCACATAGTTGCCTCCTCGTGTCTGCTCTTGGTCATGGACCTGAGCAATAATGTCATGTGGAACCTGGTTAGAAACCAAGAACCTGATCTCTGTCCCAGGCCCACCACACCCCGCTGTGTGACCTTCAGCAATCACCTCCCTTCTCTGGGCCTGTTTCCTCCTACTACAGGGAAGGTTGGATCAGATCAGGTCTTCAAACTGTGTTCCGTGGAGCGCCAGGGTTCCAGAGAGAGGACAGAGAAGAGGGGCTCCCAGTTTCACCCCCTTCATCTGTTTACATATTAAGTTCCTTTGTAGGATTTCCTTAGACAAAAGGATACCACTCATTTAAAATAAAATAAAAAGCTTCAACCCCTCTAGATTAGCAGGTCTGAGATCCCCTCTGCCTGCAGCACACCACGATGTCAGTGAGTGGTGGCGACTTACGGTATCTGTGCTCCCGCTGGCCACGCCCACGGGGCGGCCCCTGCTGGCTCTCTGGGGCAGCACCGTCTTCATGGGGTCTGCCTTCCCGGTGTGACAAGTCCGGGACCGGTCTGAGCTCCACAGCTCAAAACTGGAAGGGGGTAAGAAAGGGGGGATGACTGCCTTCAGCTTGTCGCTCGGGAGTCTGGTGAAGGGGGCTCCGTTCCGAAGCTGAAAAAGACAGGCCGTCGGTTAGACGAGCCCCAGGAGGGCTCCCGGCTCTGGGAGAAGGACTCCTGGTTTCTCCTGCTTCTCAGACCACGGCACCACCAGCTTCCCCTCCCCCCGAGCCAGAAACCCATGTGGTGTCCTCAGCTCTCCTCCCAGCAAGCGAGCAAGGCCCATGTCTGCTCCACCCCAGCTCCCGGCTTCTCCTGGATCTCGCCGCAGCAGCAAGACGAGAACAGGGATGGAGGGATGGAGAGACGTGGTGAAGCCTCGATGCTGGTGTGCTGGGATGGGCGAGCACAGGAGCCGGAGCACACAGGGGAGGGCCCCCTCACTGCAGGTGGAGAGGGCGTCGTGGAGGAGAGAGCCCAGTGAGGGCGGGGGAAGTGCACTGCAGACCGAGGGACAGAATGTGGAGAGGTCTTGGGACCAGAGGGGCAGGACGAGTGCACAGGACTGCAAGGAGACCGGTGTGACAGAGCTGAGGGTTTCAGGAGGGGGCAGGGGACGTGGGGACTGAGAGTCCCCCCCCCAGCTCCCTATGAGCCCAGCCAACGCTCCCTTCCCGGTCCCACCACACCCTTCCTACTCCAGCCACACCTCCCACTGCTGACATTCTCAACTGCAATTTAAATCTAAATTTTGAAAATGTGATTGGGGGTCAGTATAAAATCCACACAACGATGACTGGAGGGCTGTCAGGGAAAAGCATTCACACCGTCCACACTAACTTTAATTAAGAAAAGACAGAGAGCTCCGTGCCAGATGGCGCTTTGCAGGGAAGGGCGTCCCACGGCCAAACCTGCCTCGGGAGCCAGGCGGGCAGGCGTTTCCGCGAGGACGGCTGCAAACGCCCACGCGGCAGGGCACCCTGGCCATCCTCCAACACCGAGGGGCGGGCGGGCACACTGGGGCCCTCTACGGGGCATGAGGAGGGGGACAGGAAAGCGCCAGGGTGGGAGGTGGGCATCCTGGGTTCCCTCCTGCCTGGTCTGAGCTTTCCTGACTCTGTGAACAAGGCTGTCCCGGCTGGACCTCGGCAACCTCGCCCAGCAAATGGGGAGGCGGACCTGCAAGATGACTGAGGACACGCGCAGTGCAAACCCACCATACATGGCACGTCACCCCCAGGGAGGTTCTAAATTGTTGCAAACTTTCTGGAAGGCAGTGACCCAGGAATCCTATTTCTAGACATTTATCCCGAGGCATGAGGATATTCACCAGAGCTGTTAACACAACAAAAAACTAGAAATCCCCACACCCAACAGGTGAGTCCCACTGGCCAGCCAGGTGCATTCCCATGAAGGCATGTTGTATCTCACAGCCATGAGATGTGTGTGGCTGAGAAGCGTCTAAGGACACGAAGGTGCTCATGACGCACTCAGCACAACACGGGGGAAGACAGCGCCCCCTCGTGGCCGTTGGGGAGATTCAACGAGTGGATACACGTCCAGAGCTGCGAGGAGCGGCGGGTTCTTTCTAAGCACTGTGTTAAGCACTTGCTATTATTATACATAACATGCTACCATATTCATAGATGCTAAAGAATAGTTAGAATACTCAAAAGATATATACCACAAAGTGTCAATCGTGATTATGTGTGTGATCAGGGGTGATTTTATTTTCTTCTTTATACTGTACTGCATCTTCCAAGATTTCAATAACAGCGTTTCTGTCTTCATACTAAAGTAATTATTGCTATTTAATGACATGATCAAATGTTGGGCCATACAAGGACCCACAGTCGGGGTGTAGAGACACCAGTTTACACCTACAGCCCGGCAGGGTGGAGCGGGCAGAGCCGGGTCAGGACAGCTCCAGGCTCCGCAGGTCCTGGGGCACGCCAGCCTTCTTGGCGAGCGCCTCAGCTCTCTTCTGCTCTCCAATACTGCCCTCTCCTGGCCAGCCTCCAGATTAGGGCCTTAGAGCTAAGTGGACTGGAGTCCAACCCCAACCAGGAGGCTCTCATTTCAGAGAAGAGGACACGAAGCCCAGAGAGGTGAGGTAACATGTCCAAGGTCACACAGCAGATAACTGAGAGCTCATTCTGGGCCAGGCACTATGCTAAGAACTTCCTGGAAGTTCTTATTTAAAATCATTCCTGGGGATGATCTTATTTAAAAACCACAACCATGAGGGTTAGCATCCCCTAAGTCAGAGACGGCTAACTGTCCCCCAGTATCCATCTTCTGCATCTTCCTTAGTAGACACCCCTGATATTTAGATGGGCACACAACCACCTGGAAGAAAGACTTCATTTCCCAGCCTCCGGTGCAGTGTGACATGGCCAGGTGACTAAATTCTGGCTGATTTGATGTAAGCAGAAGTGACATGTGAGTTTCCAGGAAACTTCTTTAAAGACACTCGGCATGTGCCCACAGCCACCTTTTCTCTCCTCATCTTTCCTGCTGGCTGGAATGAGGCAGTGATGGCCAGAGCTCTGGCAGCCATCTTGGACCAAGAGGTGATCTTGGTAATAGAAGCCATGCATGGGAGACCAACAGGTAGAAAGGACCTAGGTCCCTAACTCCATGGCATAATGTACCAGTCCCCAACTTTACTTACTTGAGAGAAATAAGCTGCTGTCTTATTTATGCCACTGTTATGTGGGGACTTTTTGTTACTCATAGCTGAACCTAATCCTGATACACCTCTAGTTTATAGATGAGGAAACTGAGGCCTCTCAGGCTGGAAACATACCCTCCTCTGTGACTCCTCTCCCCCCCCGGCTCTCCATAACCAAAACAGTGAGTCCAATGTCACTCACCAATTCCTACCCCTTCAACGCCCTGTCCCCAGTGCTGCGTCCCTGAGAATGGGATCAGGGCTCACATCTGGCCGCTGAGCCCCAGCACAGCCCTACCCAGCTAGGGCTGGATCTGTTCTGATTCCTCGGTGCCAGAGCTGTACCCTCTGTTACACATTTTGATATCAACCCCGTCTGTGACCCCCACAAAGACAAATGTCCACAGCCCTCCCTGTAAATCAGTCAACGAATGATTGGTAGGGACCTGAAGTGCTTTTAGAAGGGCCCACACTCACCATGGTTGTCAATAGCACATCTTGCTTTTCTCCTCTCGTGCTCCCAGGACCTGAGAGACAAATGGAAGTTTCCTGAAATTGACCCCCCTGACGAGCTCACAGTGGGAGGATGAGTGGCCAGGTTGGCCTCCATCCTGGAGAACCAACTCTCCTGGTTGATTAAATATTTAATAATAACTGGTATTCAATATCTGAATAGAAGGAAAGCATATAAAAGTATCTCAGAGTGTGTTTTCAGCTTTTCCATAAACCACTGCCGTGCTGGGTCAGACAGTGGTGTGCCCAGCTCGATAGTCTGTCTCCAACGGTGGTGCCGAAGGAGCCAGTCTGGGTGCGGGGAGCCTGACTCAGATGGAACTTGATCTAATCAATTCCCAATCAGTGTGGGAATCTCCTTCAGCGCCCTGGCAAAGTCATCCAACTGCTGAATACCTCCAGTGGTGGGGAGCTCACTACCGCCTTCCCCTAGGTAACTCCTTCTAATTTCAAAACACTTTCACAGCCAGAGACCGGTCACCTTTCATAGGTGGCAAAATCCCATCAAAGGCAAGAGAGAGGCAGCAACTGACCTTGGGTCCCCCGGTAGGGCGGATGCGACAGGAACCCAAGACTCCTGCCACCAGCCTCGCTGATTACCATGCTGAGAGCATCTGTGTCCCTGCCTAAGTCTCTTCTTCGCCTAAGCAGCCACTCTGCTCCAGTGTGACATTCCAACATCAGCTCACCTCTGACACCAGCCCAGGAGGGAGGACAGAGAGCAGAGGATTTGGGTTTGACCATTCTGGAAACTCTACCACGCATGCAGCTTTTTCTTACCATTGTCTTTCATCGTGGGAGCCACATCGGGGGGCCCAGAGCGGCCTGCCTGGTTCTGGGGGGCCCTCATTGTGGAGTCCAGCGCTGGCTCCGGCTCGTCACAGAAAGGCAACGGCTGGTTGCTGGACAGCCCACGGGGCAAGGTCTGCATCAGTTTGAGCTTCCGGAACCGATTGGACATTCGGTTCCACCAGGACTGCCAAGGGAATGCAGGGCAGAGGTCATGCCCCAGGAACACCCAGCCCAAGGATAGTGACTACACTTCACACGTGCTTCCCCACCTCCTCCCGGGCCCACGTCAGGCATCAGCATCGATCACAGCACGCTTCCCCCAAAAGCCGTGGTTCTCTCTAAACTCTTCCCGACCCAGCCCTTAGGGGCCATGTCCAAACAGGCTGCAGGTGGCGGCGAGCCCTATTTGCCACTTCTCATCTTATCAACCTCCTCACTGCACAGAGTGAGAAACCGAGACCCAGACAGGGGTGCCAACTTGCTCAAAGTCTTGCCAACTTGCGCAAGTCAGGGACAGACAGATGGACACAGAGGCAACGCCAAACACCTTACCATCTCTCACTGCATGACCTCTTTCTCTCTACTCCAGTGAGAAAGTGAGAGGCGACAGGGTGTCCATACCAAGGCCTGGGCCCTCTGCTCCTGCAGCTGATGCCTCCCCACCTACAGCGAGGACGGGTGCCACCCCTAGGGTGTCCTTACAACCCCACGACAGCTCAAAGGGAGGCTGTGAGGGCCTGGCCTACAGAGACGGCAGGGGCGGGGGGAAGGGATCCATGCAAACACCACGGTGAGGAAGAATCCGGGGCTTGAGCGCACTACGAACACGAAAGGAACGCCGAGTCCGCAGATCTGAGAAGGAGCTGGAACCCCAGACAGGATGGGGAAAAATGTTTGATTTCAAACAAGTAGAGCAGGATGGGAAGGATGAGAAATTCAAAGAAAAATGCTTGGCTTGCAGCTAGAAATAAGCAACGAGAGCTGGTTTGGTGTTTGCAGGAGGACGCTGAAGGGGCTGTGGACCGCGGCGAGATCCCAGAATGGCGCCATCAGCAAACATTCTACATACCACAGTGGAGGCCACAGACAGACGGCCTGAGAAGAGAGGTATCCAGTTTGGCCAGCTCAGTACTACATAATGCAGAATTTTAAAAAATTCTCTACATTTATGATTGGGTTTCCACATCAAAATCTGGATTTCTAGTTTCTTCTGGGAAAAAATGGGAAGATCTGGCAACACGGACCCACATTCTTGCAAAGCAGCTATTGCTGCCACCGAGAGGTTACGATCACCCCAGTTTTCCCTGGTCCTCACCATCCCCTATTGCTCGCCCCCAGCTCACTTCTTGCCCCCCACCCCAGCCTATACCAGCCCTGGGTTCACAGGAAGCGGTGGGCATCCCCAGCCCACTGACCTGGCTCTCTAAAGCCCTTTAAGACAGGAAAAGGCAAACCTTAAGCCCGCCTTTGTCATCGGGCAGCACAGGGACACTCCAGGGCTGTCGGACCTTCGAGTGGGGTGGGGGTGTCGGGGGACTGGGCCGGCCTTTGTCTTTATTCACCTGCATGCAGACAGATGCCAGCAGTCGAACAAGTTCCGTGTCTACGGGCACAAAAGGCAGCATTTTACGTGCAAATACATCTGTCGAGCCATGGGGAGGGGGCCCAAGATGACCCCCGTCAGCCTTAGAGCTCAGCCTGCAGCTCCAAGGTCCGTGTTATCCCAGGGGCAAGGCGCCTGCTCTCCATCTGATCTTCAGAAGGTGGCAAACAGGCCAGCAGGGCTTAACCCACTTAACCAGAAAGAAAAACCAGAAGCCCTCTCCCCCAGGAAGGCAGGGGGGTGGTGTATTTAAAAAAGTACAGGCTCTGCAGCCAGACAGCAGAAGTTCAAATTCTGCCTCTGCCCATCCCAGGCTGTGTAACTGCAGGTAAATTAAGCAACCTCTCTGTGCCGCTGTAAAAAGGGGTGACATTAGTACCCACAACAGAAAGGTCTGGAGGATCCAAGGGAATTCCTGGCCTATGGTAAGTGCTTAAGAAAGGTTAAGTATTATTAGTTATTATTAAAATATTTTTTAAGTCTATAAAAAAAACAAAGAACAAGATAGAGAAGAAAATACCACAAATTATTAACAGTGCTTTTCTCTTAACTACTGTTTCTTTTTTTCTCTCCAAGTGTTCAATAATAAGCCTGTGTTTCTTGGAAAATTTTGGGCAAAATCTTCATTTAAAAGCCCATAAAGGAAAAAAAATCCACTAAGGGTAGGTTGTTTAAATGGGAAAGGGAGGGAGCAAATGGGTGGGGAGTGAGGGAGACGAGACATATGGAAAGAGACGAGTTTGTCAGAGAAGAGCGTGTGCGTCATCCAGCCCGGGGTCACAGGAGACTCTAATTCTGGATGACGTGACCTCTTGGTTGAGAGCAGGGTCTCCAATTAGGCGGAGCGAGATCACTGGACCTGGGCGGAGGACCCCAGCTCTCTAGCCAGGGTCAGTGGCCTCCCTGGTCTCGGTCACCGCCCCTCCACAAGAGGATGTGAGGTCCTTCCCCTCGCACACTCTTCGAGGACGGGATGGAACCAAGCGCGTATCTGCGGCAGCTGTGACGTGTGGGCCTGCAGCGGGAAGGGGTGGCGACGAGGCTCTGCTGGCGATGAGGAAGGGCGCCCCAGCCCACCCCGCAGCTAAGGGCAGCAGGAGAAACCCCACTTGGACTGTGGTTGTAAAAGTCCTCTTCCCATAGCAGCAGGCTGGGATCTGGTTCAGGGCTCAAAGCCTGGGAGTCAGGAGGGGCCCCCAGCTTTTCCCTCTCTGGGCTGAAACTCCAGGGTAATATGAGAGACGACAGAGAGACCCTGCCCCCTGAGCTGGCTAGACGAAAGTCCCAGGTCCCAGAGGAGGGCCTGTCACAGTGGGGGAGGGAGGGGGGGAGCAGCGGGTGCCAGCCGGGGACCAAGAGAGGCAGGCTAGTAATGGCGACAGCCCCGGCACCGTGCCCTCGACCCAGCAGCGTCCCCTACACAACTAAGCCAAGGGGTCACTGCTCCATCTCTGATTCTGCTTGTCAAATGGGCCTTTCTGTCTCCTCCGGAGTCACTCAGAGTTCCTGGCTACGAAGCACAGCCACCATTCCAGGATGTGTGTGGACTGCCAAGGTGGACACACGCCCTGCTGGCCTTCCTTCCTTGGAAACTCCCAGAAGGCTGGTGCTGGGCGAGGCCTCAGGGACCACGGGTCTCAGCTCAGCCCCCGGGGAAGGGAGCGACTCGCCTAGGGCCACATGGTGGGCTCTCGGGGCCTGAGAGTGGCCTCCCCCAGGAATAAGCAAGTGCTTAAAACACAGGTGAGCATCTCGATTCCCAGCCAGAGAAAGGCCGGGTGGGCTTTAGACTCTTTTCCTGAAACAACCCACCAGGATCACTCAGCAGCATCACTAGGTCAAAGGCCGTGTACCCGTTTTTTGCACGAAGAGTGACATCAGCTCCCTGGTTTAGCAGATATTTGACAATTTCCTTATTCCTGGGGAAGAAAGAAAAAGCCAGAGTTAGCTGGCCCCCACTGAAAGCGAAAGTGTGGCTTTGCTCCTGGGCAACAAGCCTGATGACTTTAACTACAGAGCCGTCTCTGAGCGTGTAAGAAGGGCGTGTAGGAAGGACGTATAAAACTGCACATCCTCTCACGCTCCTGGTTCCCTAACCTTGGGCGGTCAGCCGCTCGGGATGGAAATCAAAGCCTCAGGGAACCTCCCTCGAACAGACGAAAACCAAGGGCTCTGCCCAAACACCGCTGGGACCCCATGGCCACACGCAGACCCCACTCCTCCCAGCCCAGATCAGGACCCCTGCACCTCCAACAGGAAGCTGCGCACAGGCCAAGATGGTTGATGGGAAGTTTGAGGCTCGTCACACAAGAAAACAAGCCACTCAGATAACGCAGGAAAGTGATATCATCAGCGGAAACAGGGCAGGGAAGGAGCCCCTCATCTGGAATCAGACCACGCAGCAGCTGTGAGACTCATGCAGACCCCTGCCTCGCGGTCAGCCCACCCAGGAGGAGGCCCCCAGGAGGGTGACGGGATGAGGAGTTCAGCAGCACCAGTCAACACTGACGCCTATTCAGAAGGAGGGGTTAGGACCAGTCCCCATTGGGCGTCTCCGAGGAGCCAATGGGAGCAACGGCCGATGTTCACCCCAGTAGGGACAACTCAGGGAGCCATGCCGCATCAACGCAAACACTCCAGATGAACCAATCACTCTGACTGAAATCAACCCCCAGAAACTTATTGCTCTGCATGAAATGTTCCTGGCGCACGGTTTTCATGGCCACTGGTGACACTCTGTGACGAGGTCACGGGACACCTGGACACGGGGGTGGGACGGCAGGACAGAAGGAGCCTGCGCTGCTTCCATCTTTTCTGCCTGCCTCAGTGTCTCCACGGCTGGGGGTTTGCCTGCAGCACCTCAGGACCGGACGCCCCATCAAGAACCCCATCTCAGCCTGGCATCCCATTGGCCCGGCCGCTGAGGGGCTGGAGCGCGCACTGACCCGTGGTAGGTGGCCTGCATGAGGGCCGTCCAGCCGTGCGCGCTGTCCTGCCTGTCGACGTCGGCTCGCCTCTCCACCAGCAGCTGCACCAGCGGCAGCTGCCCCATGACGGCGGCCAGCATCAGCGGGGTAGCCCCGTCCCCATTGACCAGGTTCACGTGGGCGGGGTCTTCGTCGGCAATCTCTTTGACCAGCTGGAAGTTGCCTGCAAACAGAAGCAGGGGTCCTGATGATCCGCAGCCCCGGCACCAGGCTTATTATTCCGTGGGTTTGCTTAACCAACAGCTGCTGAGCCTGAATCTGCACTGGGCTAGCGGGCATTGTAGGGGCTACAAAGATGGGTCAGAGGTAGCCCCTGCTTCAAACCCTTCAGGCTATGAGGGACTCAGAGGAGCATGCAGATAGCTCTACCAAGAGAGAGAAGTGTTGGTGTCCTAAGAGAACAGATAAGGGAGACAGATGAAGGGCAGGGCTCATGCAGAAGGAGAGCTCAGGTCTCGCTGGGGGTTGAGGATCACGGAGGGCTTCCTGGAGGCAGGGTCTATATCAGGAGAGGAAATTTTAAGCTAAATAGCCCTTCATCACAAACAGCCTGGAGTGGGTGGGTGGGCAGCCAGACATTTCAGAGGTAGGGAAAAGGCAGGACATAGCCACAGGGTTTGGTGGGAGAGGTGGAAGGAGCCTGGGAGGGCAGTCTGGACTCTGTGTAAAACACCATAGTAACTACCAGCCTCCAGGGTCTGAACCTCCCTCGTGAACCTCCAGTGTCAGAAAACAACAGAATGCCTATTTCTTTCTCAAATACTCTGGGTGGACTTGAAGAGGACTATGAATATTAGGTGGGGAGAATATAGCCCTGAATTCTTAACTATCCAAAGATTTTTAAAGTGCTTACCCATTTTCAATGCATGGAAAATATCAGGTCGCCTTTTCTCCTCATCTGGGTAAACAAAGATTTCAAAAGTTAAGCACAGAAAGGTTTAATATAACAGAAAAGTCACAAGGGTGTAACAACACAGCAAACTGTGATTTTCAAAAGCAATCTAATCAGAGACCTACGTAAAATCCAGCAAGGGTTATGAAAGGGTTATGATCAAAGAATGCCCAGAAACGCTTCTAAGACAGATCTGGGGAGGCCATTTGGCCAAGAAAACATGAATAAGCGCAGACCACTTCCTAATCCCATGCTCATAAAGCAAGCGTTTTTAGGCATTCCAGACTTTGGGACGTCCTTTCTTAGATATGATGGAAAAGCAAAGTCTTGGAAAAATCTGAATCTCTGTGAAAATTTAAAAAAGAAACAATGATTCTTTTCTCCTAAAAACGAAATGTACAACCCTGAAATAATTCCAGAGCAGAGACACTGAGCAGCTGAGCCCAGAGGGAGGTCATGGAGGTGGGCACCACAAGAGCCAATGTGAATTTTTGCTTTCCTTCCCCAGTAAGAAGCAATCTGACTGTGATTCTGAGTCACCCCTGCCCCAGACCCACAGACACAGCTCCTGCCTTCATGCTGGTCCCTGCAGCCCAACCCCTGGGCTGGTGCAGGACGCCCCTGCCGACCCCCAAAGCTGGGCCTTGCTGCACCCACCAATGCTAGCCCCTCCCTCATCTGCCCGCCCATCACCTTCCTGGAAGCTTGGGCTAGTGGGGACCCCACTCCTGTCAGAAAGCAGACATCCTCATGACCAGTCCACTCGCTGGTGGTCGGATGCAGGACTTCTGCAGCCTTTAACTAACTCCAGGGATGGAGCAGCTGCGAGTGGAAACCTGTGGCTCTGGGCTGAACCTCTGGTGCATGTCGGCCCCCATGGGCGGCTGGGAGGCAGCTGCAGTGGGCACAGGGAGCACTGAGTGTGGTCAGCATACAGAATGAGGGCACCTCTCTAGAGTGATCTGTCTCCTCGCTGCTGAAATGGGGATAACGTGCGAATATGGGGACCACATGGAGGGTGCAGGGATCAATAATATAGATGAGAAAATGCTTCAGAAATGGTCAGGCCCTATTCAGAGAGTAATTCTGTTATCTTCCCTAGTGACCAGCACCCACCCCAGCAAGAGTAACTACTAAACTCCAAGGTTCTTAAAGGAAATACACACACAGAACCAAGTATCTGATTTTGCCTGTGAAATACTATCAAGAAACAACTCTGCATCTTAGTTTTATAAATATGCCACGTTCCTTTAAGTGTTTAAAAGTCTAATTTGCTGTGGGCCAGGGCCTTCTCATACGAAGACCCTTTGACAGAAAAGAGTGTCTCCAGGCCTTAGTGCTGGTTGCTAAGCAACCATCTGGTACAATTGAGTCACTGAGGGTCTAGCCTGACCCCAGGAGGCTGGGCAGCTGTGCCCCTGATGCCGGGTGACCCTAGGCTGGTCGCTTCCTCGCTCTGGGCTCGTTTTTGCATCGGTATCAGAGCAGCTCTAGGGACCCTGCCCCAGCCCAAGAACGTCCACGGTGGGGGTGGGGAGGTATCACAATGACAATTACACCCCAAGGGCACCCTGTCCCGCAGCTAATGTGAAGGAGAGACCTGGAGTCTCCAAGGCCCGGAGGGGTGGATTTTCTGGCATCTCACAAAAAGAGCTGGGGGCTAGAATTATTTATTTAATAACCTGTCATTATCAATAACGCAGCCTCTGCCCTCGCTGCTGTCCCACCTGAAGGCTCTTCCCGAGAGCCCGCTGGTGCACTCCCTCAGCTCCTGCAGGTGGACAGAAACTCACCCCCTGGAGGAGGCCGCCAACCGCCCCGTTTCACGGTGCAGCTGCATGGCCCACCTCCACCCCTCCCAAACCCTCCACCCCGCGCCCGTTTGTCACCCCCCACCTCCCACACTCAGCGCCCACTGAGTCATGTAACTTATTTCATTTACTAGGCTCTTTCCTGTTCATTGCACGGTCCTCAAGGGCAGGGAGTGGGTCTGATGTGTTCACTGCCATATCCCAGGTGCCGAGAACGGGGCCTGGTCCGTAGTAGGCACTTGATAAACATGTGTAGGATAACTGAACGAACGAACGGTCAATAAAAACATATTCTAACAGTTCCATTCACGGAGTGCTGTCCGAGTGCCAGGCACCGGGACACACGTTTCACAGGCATCATCCTACTGCTGCTCACGGAAACTTACTAGGTGAGTGCGTTGATTTTAACTGTCTTACAAAAGAGGACACTGCAGTCCCGAGGGACAATGATCATGCCCAAGGCCGCCCAGCTGCACAGCGGCAGAACTGAGCCTCAGACCCGGGTCTTCTCACCGGGAAGCCTGCACTTGTCACCACGAGCTGATCCTGTCAAATATGACAACAGTAACAAGAGTAATGGCGGCTGCCGACATCTCTCACGTGCTCGCTGGGCCGGGGCGACCTCACTGAATCCTCGTAGCAGTCTGTGAGGTAGTGACATCCCGCCCCCCACTACAGATGACAACAGGGAAGCCTAGTGAATTCAGGCAGTTGGTCCAGGGTCCCCCGGCCGGCACGGGCAGAGCCAGGGTTGATCCAAGCAGAGAGGGACCTAGGGCACATTGCCAGTGTGTGTGAGACTGTGCCGGGAAACAGGAAACCACCTTCCCAGGGTGCCAGACCATCCCTAATGAGGCCAGGGGGAGCCAAGACTCAAGAACCCAGGCTGAGGGCAACCTGAGGGAGGAGAAGACAAGCAGAAGAGGCACAGTGTGGAGGCCACAGGCAGGCTCAAGTTCTGGACCGTCCACGCCTAGAGCCAGGACCTTGAGCAAGTCACTCCACCCCCCAAGCCTGATCTCCCTCATCGGCCACACGGTGGACACCGTGAGGAAGGTAAGACCCTGCGTGCCAGGTGTGCCAGTCTCAGCAGGGGCATGAGAAAGGCAGTCCCCTCCCAACCTCAGCTACAAAAACAGACACACCAACCAATACCTTTAAAGGAGGGCAACAGCCTGTGTCAAGGAAAAAACCCTGTATGAGGAGACTGGCGCTTATGTCTAACTGCAGCTGTTCACCAGGAGCCAACGCTGCACTGCTACCCTCGGGGCCAGGTGCCCCATACACCAGAGGCCACCTTATCTTCTGCTCACGACCACCTGGTCGTAGTCGTCATGACCCCAGTGTACACAAGGCAAAGGCAGGCTCAGGAGAGTTACGTGCTTGCCCAGCTGAGGCCCTGTCAGCGCTGGAACTGGGCAGAGCCACGCCCAGGGGCTCTTCCGGTGGAATCCTCGCCTGCTGAGTGTCACTCCCTCAGCTGCTAACAGGTGTGCGACCTTTGACCAGCTCCTCTCCCTCTCTGGACCTCAGTTTCCCAATATGTACAAGCTAAGAGGTCTCTCAGCTTCAGAGAGGTTTTCCTAAACTTCACTTTTTTCCTCTCTGTGTGGGTGTCCTCTTCATTTTTGCCATCTCTCTGCCATTAGAGGGCTTTTAAACATGTTTATTTCAGAGTTGTTTGGATCAGATGATGTATTTCCCACATTTGCAGCCCCTTTTGATTGAGGGGTCTACTGTATATTCTTTGGATGGTACTGAACTTCTCTACACGTGTAGCCGTTTTGTCTGAAGACCTTTCCTGCCTTCAGATGTTCACCTTTCAGCCCGAGCTCATACACTGCAGCCCGTCACGACGGCCTCGGTGCCTCGGTCCTGTCACCGGAGTCAGACCCATTAGAGAAAGAGGGAACTGAGGCCGCGGGTGACACTGCACTTCATGGTCCTACCACACGTGACGAACCAGACATTCTGAAACACAGTCTGTGCTGTGGCAGGTTTGCTAAGAGTTATTCAGACAGCCCTTGAAATGCCAGAAAGACGGCAGAAAGAAAAAAGAAACAGGACACATTAATAGCTGTTGAAGAAAGAGCAACGCAGAAGTGGCTGAGTTTTCTGTGAAATGGTCTTTGGGGACTGATATGAGGTCAGGCACATTGTTCTAGAGCAGGGGTTGGCAGACCACAGTCCTGGCCAAATCTGCCTGCTGCCCGTTTCTGTAATTATGGTTTTACTGGAACACAGCCACCCCCGCTCACTTACACATCATGCATGGCTGCTTTCACCCCAGCAGAACTGAGTGGTTACACCAGAGACGGGGTGGCCCACAGACTCTAAAATATTTATTATCTGGTCCAGAAAAAGTCTGCTGACCCCTGTTCTAGAAGGATCCCAGAACCACCCAGAACCACCTGCATCAGAGTCATCTGGTTCGGGAGGAGGGGCCTTGCTGTGTAGGTTTCCAGGCTCTTCCCAAATCCCTCCCAGCGGGGTGGGCCAGGAACCCTGCAGTAACAGGCACTCCCAACCGACTCCTACGCACAGCACATCTTAAGTCCCACTGCTCTGCCGGCGGGACTGATTCCTGCACGCCCTTCCCGTTGGGCAATCCTCGGCTTGAGCCATTTAAATACAGTTTGGGGTCCTCTGTGAAGCCATGGTGGGGGGTAGGGGTGGAGGCACAAGCTGACCTGTCTTGGGCCTGACAGTGGTCAGTGGGTCCAGGTAATCTGCAAGGTCCCTGTGCTTGCGATCAAGTGCAACTTCGAAGGCGGTCTTCTCCAGCACGCTGAGGTGGTCGGGGTTGGCCCCCTTCTCCACCAGTTGCTGGGCCACGCCAAGCCTTCCAATGAGTGCTGCCAGCATCAGCGGGCTCCAGCCCACAGTCCGGGCCGCGTGGTTGGGGTCTGCACCCCACTCCATCAACAGACGCACCACAGCCTCATGCCCATGCTGGATGGCGGCCATTAGGGCCGTGACGTCCAGTCGCTCGTCCCTGCTGTCCCCCGCCCCTGGCTGCTCGCCTGAGGGGTTGTGATGATCCATGAAGGCACCAGCTTCCAGGAGCAACTTCACCACGCCCAGGTGGCCACCCCGAGAGGCCACAGTGAGCACGCTGGCCCCCAGCCGGTTCTGGGCATTGACATCAGCCCCGTGATCCAAAAGGAGGTGTGCCACACTCACATGCCCAAATCTGCCAGGAAGACGGAGAATTAGTAACACTAAACACGGAGCACTGACAAGAAGACAGTTTACGTAATCCTCCTTTGTCATTAATTATCAAGGTCACAAAAGCTGCTTATAATAACAGGCCTTCTTCAGGGGCCGGGCACTGTGCTGGTCTGCATACGCACCACCACAGAGGTGAGCAACCATCATGTCTAGGTTCGCACCCAGCTCTGCCATCCACTAGCTGCACGACCTTGGGAAAGAACTTTAGCTTCTTCGTGCCTTCACTCCCTCATCTGTAAAATGGGAAAGCACCTATAATAGCACTTGGCCACAGGAAGCACCACATAAATGTTAGCTATTATCATTGTAATCATTTTACATTACGCAACGTGCCACGGTCACCCAGCTGGTAAGGGGCGGTGTCAGGGTCAGAACCCAGGTCTGTCTGAATCCCGCTGTCCTCACGCCTTCCCCTACACCACACTGCCTCCCACATCTCAGAAGGCTTGTTTTATTCTGCTTTACAGCCTGGTAATCTGTCTCTCTGCCTCTGCTCTGATTTCCCAGAGGGCAAGGCCCGAGTCTGACTCATGTCCACCCTTCTCCTCCCCAAATGCACACACAAAGAAAGTCCTTAGGGATGAGACAGCGGACCTCCTGCCAAGAGGTGTGGCGGGGCTGTGGTCAGCAGAGATGGGCTCCGGCACCTCTCAGGCATCCCCCGCACTGGCCGGAGGCCTGCTGCCACCTGCTGGCAGAAATGTTGGAGGCCGGAACTGACAACTGGGCCTGGGCCAGACCCCCCTCAGTGAAGCCTGAGCTCTGGCCCTGCTGGGACGCTAGGGAGACAGACCTGCACCCACCAACTCTAACTCCAGGAAGAGAAAAACGGAGGCTCTCCCAGCAAAATCTCTTCCTTCTTTTGCCGCCAGAGGGCGGAGAAGTCCTGTTTTGCCTCGTTTTTAGTTGGCACACTGGGCTGGAGCTGGAAGGGGCCTTGGACTAACAAGGAAAGAATGACAAGAAGAGGGGCGGGCAGCGCCAGGTTCCACGAGACCATAACGCCTGCATCACGTCTGCCTCTGCGAGGCAGCTTTCTGAATGTCCTGCTGCGCTCCCTTCCTTTCCGGAGGCGGCTTTTGTGCCTCATCTCACCCGGGCCTCCCTCCTCCCTGTGGAGGCCCAGCCAAGGCTGAACTCCGGTCTGAACTTACAAATACCTTCTGGGACGTGAACCTGAACAGCACCGGGTCACCCCAGCCTGCAGAGTGTGGCCCGTGGAGGGAGCGCTCGGTGAACCGGCTCCCCCAGCTGCAGAGGGACTGGGCCTGTCTGGCCCCTGCTCTGAGAGCAGAGCGAGTGCAAGTCAAACTGAAAGCAACTCAGACGCAGAGAGCTGCAACCCCACCCTGTCTCCCTGCCTCTAGTCTTGTTCCTTCCCGCCCATCCTCCACGATGACATTCCCAAAACCTAAAGTGATATTCCCATAACCCTAAATCTGACGGCCACTCCCCAGCGCCCCCTGCCCAAACGTGGCCTGCCGACTTTGTCAACCTCATTTCCTCCCACTCCAATGTACCCTCCGGCACGCTCGCCTGCACTCATCAATTATTCTCCTCCACACCTCTGCCATCCTGCCTCTCTGACCAAGGACTCTCCTGTCCTTCTCTACTCAGCTTCAGGATTCAGCTCAGAACTCACCTCCTCTGAGCAGATTCCAGACCACCCCCCACTAGTTCAGGCCCTCATCTGAGCACCTGCAATTCGCAGTCCGCGCCTCTACTGATGTACCCGAGCCCTCCTTGTATAACCGTGTCTCCCCGCTAGACTGTGCGCTCTCCAAGGACAGGACTGGGTGGCTGACCCATAGTGGAGCTCAGTAAACTCTGTCAAATGAATGAGTGAGTGAATGAACAAATGACTGGCATAACCACGTAGCGGATGTCCAGAGAGGGGCAATGGAAATGACTGAAGAACTGGTGTATCCTCCACCGGAGTAGAGAATTTTAAAAGATTACACTATTTACTGATCAAGCATGAGATAAAATCGAGGCTAATTCCTCACAGCAGATTACAAGGTACTGCCACATTTTTATCTCATTTGATCTTTTTTTTTTTTGTGAGGAAGACCAGCTCTGAGCTAACATCCATTGCCAATCCTCCTCCTTTTTTCCCCAGAGCCCCAGTAGATAGTTGTATATCACAGCTGCACATCCTTCTAGTTGCTGTATGTGGGACGCGGCCTCAGCATGGCCGGAGAAGTGGTGCGACGGTGCGCGCCCGGGATCCGAACCCGGGTCACCAGTAGTGGAGCGCGCGCACTTAACCACTAAGCCACGGGGCTGGCCCTATCTCATTTGATCTTAATAAACGCTGAGATAAGCTGATAATGCCTATCTCACAGATGAGCAAACTGAAGATTAAATGGAAAACAATAATCCTGAGCCTCTCAATCTGAAAGTGACAGCGTCAAAACTTGAACCTAGACCCTAAAATCCCAAACCCCAGCTCCTCTGGTATAATGATTTTTCAGAGAGGAAGCAAGGGGCTGGATTCTAGCAGAAATGCTGACATTTGGAATGCCTTCTGAACTCACGGGTAGCCTGAGAGGCCATTCAATTAGGCTGAAAATATAAAAGGATTCAGCGAAGGCTGAGATAATAGTGTGGATGCTAAATTTCTAATAGGTAACTACTGAGGGTAGGGAAGCGTGGGGCTTTCTCAACGGCTGCTGTGATTACCAATTAATTCCAGCAAGTACCCTGTGTCTAAAGACCTGGCACACAGCCACCCCTCAAAGCCGTGGGCGGAGAGTACAGCTCTGCCACGCTGGCAGGTGCAGAAATGACGGGCGGGAGAAGGAAAGGAGAGAGGTCAAGGGTGAGGTTAGAGCCAGAGTACACGCCACGCAACCTGTCCCTTTAGCACTGGGCAAACTTGGCGAGTAGCTTCCGTGTGGCCAACGCCAAGAGGAGGATGGTCAGTGACAGGACTCACAGCTGGGAGCACAGGCTCTGGAGCCACCTGCCTTGGTGTGACTTAGACCCTGCCACTCACTAGCTGTGTGGCCCTGGGCAAGTTGCTTAACTTCTCTGAACCTCAATTCCTCATCTGTAAAATGGGGGTGACAATAGTACCTACTCCTAAGGTATTGTGTGGACTGAATGAGTCAGATCATTTAAAGCACTTAGCACAGTGCTTGACACAAAGTGAGTGCTCAATACAGCTTATCATTTTAAGAATAGGAAAAACCATGAATATAACCATTTCTGATACTAAAACATCCATAAGAGACCAAACTGCAGCGCAGGCACAGGGCCTGTGATGGCCTGGCCTGATGCAGTGACGAGCTTTAGAACACAGAAAGCCGGGATGATAAATAGATGCTCATTTTGACCAGAAGCAGTGGCTTCCGGAAGCATCATTTTGAGGCACTCTGAGGCGCATCTAGATTCAGGGAGGTAGAGCACAAGACTGGATCGTGTTGGCTCACGGCCACACATCTGCCACCCTGATCCGAGGGACAGACAGACTATACAGCCTTCCGTATACATTGTTCCGTACACATTGTTCCTTAACACTCAGCTTTTTTGTGTGTGTGTGTGTGAGGAAGATCAGCCCTGAGCTAACATCATTGCTAATCCTCCTCTTTTTGCTGAGGAAGACCGGCTCTGAGCTAACATCTATTGCCAATCCTCCTCCTTTTTTTGTTTTCCTCAAAGCCCCAGTAGACAGTTGTATGTCATAGTTGCACATCCCTCTAGTTGCTGTATGTGGGACGTGGCCTCAGCATGGCTGGAGAAGCGGTGCCTCGGTGCACGCCCGGGATCTGAACCCGGGCCACCAGCAGCGGAGGGTGCGCACTCAACCGCTACGCCACGGGGCCAGCCCAACACTGAGCTTTTGATACGAATCAGGAAGCAGAGAGCTCGAGCACAATCCAACATGGACAGAGGTGACACCTGAGGACAGACGGTCGGTATCGCAGACTGAAGGACAATACATTTCCAAGTCCCCAGGCCCTGCTGTGGCCCAGCTGAAGGTCGAGGGTCAACGCCGATCCTCTCATAGGATTGTCATATTCTACCGTATTCTCATAAGAGTAAGTAAGAGACTGTGTCATAGCTAGCGCGCCTAAACAGCACCTGTAAGGTAAATGGAGGAATTAAGAGAAGTAACTAGCCCAGAGCCTCTCGATTTGAAAGTGACCAAGTCAGGACACGTGGACCACGAATTTCAGCTCTTTTTACAACACCAAGTTGTAGCAAAGAAAGCAAGTCCTCCAAAAATGTTAAATAATTAGTTTTCCGTTTTCCTCCTGGCGTTGGCCGCAAGGAAGCTACTCGTCAAGTTTGCCCAGTGCGAACGGGACAGGTTGTGTGGTGTATACCTTGGCTCTAACTTCACCCTTGGCCTCTTTCCTTTCCCTCTCCTGCCCTTCATTTCTCCGCCTGCCAGGGTTTAGGTTAATTCTTCCGAGTCTCCTGCCCCATCAAGATTAACAGAAATTAAATAAAATCAATCAGATGACTTCGACCGTCCTGCAAAACTTGGTTAAGAGCGACAATGGGTGATGGGGGTCTCTGAGACACCCTGAGGCACACCAGAGGCTGCAGGCACAAACCGTGCTCAGCAAGGACCCCGGAGGCTCACTATGGGCCTCTGCACCAGGTGGGAGTTCAGAGATGAGGCACACATGAGTGGCTCCCAAACCTACCGTGGGAGAGAGCCATTGGGAGGCCTCTTCTCACAGAGTCCCCGTCCCTCCCTCCCTCCCCACCAGGTCTTCTGAATCACAATCCCCAGAAAAGGAACTCAGGAATCTGATCTGGAAAAGCATCCTGGTGATTCTGATGTGCGGCCAGGTTTAGGGACCACTAAGGAAGGCGACTTGCTATAATGCGAGGTGGTGGGCACCAATGCAGAGGCCTCGCCAGTGCTGAGAGACCAGAGAACTGGGGGGATATCACGGTGGGCTTCTCGGAAGAAGCTAAGCCGGGAGGAAGAGGGGGGCTTCCCTGAGAGAAGAAGGGGAAGAAGGGGCTTCCTGTAGGTGGTCATGGTGAGGGCTCTGCAGTCAGACTCCTCAAATCCGCTGACTGGCTGTATGCTCACGAGCAGATTTGGTAATCTCAGATTCTCATTTGTAAAGTGGAGGTAATATTCTTGGCACATAGTAAATGCTCAATATATGTTAACTGAAAAAAAGAAAACCCACAGGAAAACACAGAGAAGGCCTGGATGAAATCATCTTGGTCTGGGCTTAGGAAGCCAGGGGGAAAGAGAAGAGAGGATTTGGGGAGGGGTCTGAATATGAGAGCCTCCAAAGCCACGCTGAGGGCTCAGACAAGGGGAGCCATCACATCACGGGAAAGGCACAACCAAACATTCATTTCAGAAAGACCTGGAAGCTCTGTAGAGGATGGATTAGAGAGCGCACACCTGGAGGAAGGGAGAGCAGTGGAAGGGGACTACAAGGTGTGGCCCGGACCAAAGCAGAGAGGAAGGAGAGAAAGTACGGATTCAAGAGGGTATGGCAGAGACAGACGGGCAGACTTGCCCATGGCACAGACAGGGTACCAGGGCTGAGGGTTCATCTGGAGTTTTAAAACCTAGAAGAGTGGATGGGGCCACTAAGAGAGACAGGGAACCTCAGAACAGAGGATGATAGCCCAGAAGCCTTTACCGTCACCCTAGGCTGCTCCAAGCAAGAAATCAGGTGTCTTAAGACAAACAGTCCCAACACTCTGGTAGGTGCATAAACACTGCATTACCCATGCAAACGGGCAGGCGTTCCCAGAGTGTGTTTATAGACTGATGGAAAGAAACGCCCAAGGGCTGGGGAATGGTTAAGCAAACCACAGTACCGTCCCATGGATGGAATACCACACAGCAGTTGAAAATGATATATTTGAAAATAATGCAGAATCAAAATTTTCCAGCAATACAAATTAAATTAGATTAGAACAAATGTGTGCCACTTGGAAAAGAACTCAGAGAAATAAAATATTATCAGGTCACACTGAGAAGATTATGGGTAAGAACATTGTGTTTTCAACGCCTTTTGGAAAAACACATAGCTCATACATATGGAAAGATGCTTTACTTCACTCACAATTTAACAAACGCAAATCACAGCTACACTGAGATATGATTTTTCACCCATCAGACACAAAAATCCAGCAGTTTGATAACATTCTCTGTTGGCAAGGCTGTAGAAAAACAGGCACTCACGTACACCACTGCTGGGAGGGTAAACTGGTGTAACTGCTGTGGTCAGCACAATAATGGGTCCCCAAAGATGTCCACATCCTAACCCCCAGAACCTGTAAATACCTTAGGTTTCATCGCAAAGGAGACTTCAAGGTTGCAGATAGAATTAAGGTTGCTAATCGGCTGACCTTGAGATGGAGAGTAGCCTAGATTATCCAGGTGGGCCCAATGTACTCATAAGGGTCCTCTCAATGTAGAAGAGGGGGCAGCAGAGTCAGAGTCAGAAGATGTGATGACAGAGGCGGGGGTCGGAGTGACATGATCGCTGCTGGCTTTGTGGTACGTTGTTAAGCAGCCATAGGAAACTAATATACCTGTATGGAGGGCAATTTGGCAACACCCATCAGAATTACAAATGACTGCATTCCCTCCTTGGGGAATTTCTGCAAGAAACTGAGGGGTAGGTGGGACCTAAGAAGATGGCCAACAGGGGTGAGAGACTCCACGGTATACCAGAGTTTCTTTATAACAGGGTTTCAAGTCCTGTTCACTCTGCTTCCTGGGTACATCTCAAACTCATCTCTTTGCTCTCACGCCACCGTCTCTGCCCTGGTCCAGGCCACCATCACCTCTTCCTGGATGCTGCATTCCCCTCCCAACCAGCCTTTCTGCCTTTAGCCCACCCTTCCAATCCATCCTCACAATGCAGTGAAAGGGATCTTTCCAAAACATACATCTGATTCAGTCACTCGCTCTGCTTAGAACCTTGCATAACTCCCCAGTGCCCCTGGGACAGCTCACCTTTCTCAACCCTGCCACCTGGCACCTACCTCCTTCTCTCCAGGGAGGGCTCATCCCCCACTACTCCCAGCCCCTCCCAGTGCTAACATCATTCTAGCCGTCCTACCAACGCCTTAAGGCCACTTTCACTTCCAAACCTTTGCACGGGCCTCCTATCACCCCATTCCCACCTCCCACTTCTTCTGTCCCGGTTAATTTTCAGGCATCCTCGGGTTTCGACTTGAATATATACATCTTCCTCACTAGAAATCTTCCCTCGCCTCCCCAAACTGGGTCTGCTACTCCCAGAGCTCCCCGAACTTGCCTCGTCAAGCCTGTTCCCTTGTCCGGCCTGCCCGCTGGCTTGCGAGCTGCTCCGGTGGAGACTTTACCTGGGTCCCGCAGGATCCCCGGTGCCAACCTAGGGTGGGCAGGTAGGTTCTTAGGAAACCCTGGGTGCAAGAAGGAATGAATGAACGCTTCTAAGATTCTGAGTCGCTAAGGTTCTATTCGCAGTCTCCAGATTCTGTCTTGAAAGGCCAACGTTCCTAAGATTCCAATTCTATGCTACATAAAAAGCGCTTCCACATGTGGTATCCCAAGCGGCTCAAACCTGGCCGTGCCAACTCTCTCGAACGAGTCCTTGACCCTTTACCTCCCGGGGCGTCTGCGGGGGAGCCGAGCAGGTCCGGCCGCCTGGCTCCACCCGGGACCCCCGCCCGCTCACCTGGCCGCCTGCATGAGCGCGCTCCAGCCGTAGTGGTTGCGGCTGTTGACCGAGGCGCCGCGCCGCAGCAGGAAGCGCACCAGCGGCTCGTGGCCCCCGGCCGCGGCGAACTGCAGCGCCGTGTTGCCCGCCTCGTCCGAGCAG